ATAAGCTTCACGGCGCTACGCTCTTTACAAAGTTCGATGTCTGATGGGGATACAACAACGTCCGGATCAAAGCCGGCGACGAGTGGAAGGTGGCGTTTGTGACTAACCGAGGGTTGTACGAGCCCTTGGCGATGTTCTTCGGTTTCACCAATTTGGGAAATCTTCTCACGCTTGACTTGGATCGGCGACAACAATTTGAGGAAGTCGGGAGCTAGGGGAGACAGGGCGAGAATGCTGTGAGGTGGAGTGAGACGCGAGGGTGCTACGGGGACCGAGTGGGTGTTGAGCCCATTTGATTGCCTTGTAGTGAGGGTAATGTCGCGACTTAGGGTCAAGCGACAGGAGAAAACCAAACAAGGCGCTGGGGGCGTTCGACTTAGTTCTTACCGAAGCGATGGTGAGCGAGGCTCAAACCTAAGGCTAGGGACAAGAAAATGTATTAGTTAGTAATGTAAGAAAGGATACAACTGAAGGCTTACTGACCTAGGGACAAGAGGTCGAAACTGAGGTCCCTAGGGCAGCAGAGGCCGGCTTATATACAGGGGAGGTTAAGGGCAGGCTGTGCGCACTGGTCCGTGCGCAGCTGGTCCGTGCACAGCATGCCGACGCGGCCCCGGGGGCCGGTGAGTCAGAGCGGCTGTGTCAGTGGAGCCCGAGCTGTGCCGTGCACTGCCATCCCATCTAATCTAATCGTACAGTAGATAATGACGCGTCCATATCGGGTATGTAGTACAGAGGTCGCGGGTTCGAGCCCGCAAAAGGGAAAAAATTAAAAAACGGCTAGACACCGTACCAAGTCGTGACAGGTAATCCTCCTCAATCGATCGGGGTGTCCAATTTGGGCACGGCTGCTGCTCGCAATGGTAGATGACAGTCTCAGGGCCATCTGCGATATAAACGTCGATGAGGTCCTGAGAGTTGAATGCGTGAACCTGGCCTTGACAGGCAGCCATGATGGATGGGGGGAGGACGGGGAGGTGCACATACTACAATGGCCGTACTATCCTAGCTTACGCTACGGCGCCCGAGAAGACACTAGGGTTCGCAGTTCACGTGGGGCCCAGTACTGCTTTTGACTATTATGCAGCAGGAACCTAGTCCACACGTCCGTGAGGACAAGTACCTCCCACTGAAGTGCAGGTACTGAAAAGTTCATCCCCTAAGTGTTGGTAATGTATGTACGCTATCTAGGTATTGTAGGGTACAATAAGGGTGCGCACCACCCAACCTATAGGAATTAAATGTGAGTTTGTGGGAGTCCCAATGAACGCCGGCAGCTATGGGGAGTTTCGACCTAATCTGCGTCCTGGCACTCCCGTGCTGTCTCTCCCAGCTCTCGCCTTCCCCAAACTGTCGCCAGTACAAGTCAAGCAGGAGGAGATCCTGATCTCCCTGCAGACCCTGCACCAGAGCCAGAGCCTGAAGAGAGGAGTGCGAGTGAAGAAGGAATCTCGGAGCCCGAGCATACACTTCATGGTTGGGCCGCATCACCGGACACGCTCCCCTCCACGCCTCCAGTCCCTCTCCTATGTGACACCGCCTCCGGGCTTTCTTCAGTGCCTTCACCGTCGTCGCTGCCGCAAGGCCGCTCACACACTTGCTCCCCCCAAAGTCCACCTGGCGGACAGCCACAACCACCGCCTCCGCCCCTGGGCCATCCTCTGTCCCCCTCGCTGCCGGTAATGGCCACACCGGCCCCCCTCGACAAGGAGACGCTCAAGCACCTCCTCCCTCTCCGCTATGACAGGAAAACTGTCATTGAATGCAACTGGTTCCTGTCGTAGCTACGCATCTACTGGCATGTGAACACCGCGCTGACCACTATCAAGCTCAAGGTGCAGGTGGCACTAAGCCTTCTCGATGGTGACGCACGAACCTGGGCCACCCCGATTTTTGCCCAGCTCGTCTCAGTGCAGATCGGCACCCAAGGGGCAACAACCCCCTTTGCCAACAAGGCAGCCTTTGCCACCGCCTTCAGGGCGTGCTTCGGCCATCTCGATGATGAAGCTGCAGCACAAGTAGAGCTCACCAAGCTCTGCGCCGACAAAACCATGTGTGAGAAGTGCACCGCCGCGGAATTCTTCGCACTGTTCATGTCACGAGTTGGCACGGCGTCTAGCCGTTTTTTAATTTTTTCCTTTTCGCGGGCTCGAACCCGCGACCTCTGTACTACATACCGGATATGGACATGACACTATCTACTGTACGATTAGATTAGATGGGGCGGCAGTGCATGGCACAGCTCGGGCTCCGCTGACACAACCACTCTGACTCACTAGCCCCCGGGGCCGCATCGGCATGCTGTGCACGGACCAGCTGCGCACGGACCAGTGCGCACAGCCTGCCCTTATCTCCCCATGTATATAAGCCGGCCTCTGCTGCCCTAGGGACCTCAGTTTCGACCTCTTGTCCCTAGGTTAGTAAGCTCTCCTGTACTTACTTCCTTTACTTACTAACTAATACATTCTTGTCCCTAGCCTTAGGTTTGAGCGTTGCTCACCATCGCTTCGGTAAGAACCAGTCGAACGCCCCCAGCCTTTAGGTTTCCCCTGTCGCTTGACCTCAAGTCGCGACATTAGGTCGAAACTCCCCATAGCTGCCGGCGTTCCATCGGGACCCATACACTCACATTCACTTCCTATAGGTTGGGTGGTGCGCACCCCTACTATACACTACGATACTTAGATAGCCTACGATACATCGCCACCACTTAAGGGACGAACTCTTCGGTATCTGCACTTCAGTGGGCGATACTTGTCCTCACGGACACGTGGCTTAGGTTCCTGCTGCATACTAGCCAAAAGCAGTACTGGGCCCCACGTGAATTGCGAACCCTAGTGTTACCTCGGGCGCCGTAGGTGTAAGCTAGCTTATACGGCCTTTTGTAGCACGCGCACCTCCCCTTCCTCCCCCCCTCACCGTGGCTGACGAATTCTTTGACTGCTCTTGACTAGAGCACGCCTTCGACACACAGGAGCAGGTCGACGTCTCTCGCGACGACCCAGAAAGCAACGGCAACCTAGCCCCTTTCTTCATCTGTGATCGGCAACCGTGCCCTAATTGAACCCCACGGTCCATCACCACCGACGAAGGGCGCTACGTACCGATCCGACGAGTCCAGCATCCCAGCGGCCCAGCAGTTCGGTATGCTGGCACCTCGAGATCTACATCTCGCCACGTCACTCCCGTCCCATCCCGACCTGCCTCGCCAGGCACCCGCATTCCCCAACCTGTCGCCAGTACAGGTCAAGCACGAGGAGATCCCCATCTCCCTCGAGGAACTGAGGCAGTCGCACAGCCTTCAGCGACCCCTCAAGCGATCCCCCAGTCCTCCCTGGGGCCGTGGCTGGAAAGGCCTCCCAAGACCGAGCCCCGCAACACTCCACCGCATTCTTGGGCCGGCTCGTCGTCAGCGGTCACCGCCTCGACTTCAGTCCCTGTCCTACGTCACCCCGCCTCCGGGCTTCCTCAATCGTCTTCACCGCCGTCACCGCCGCGAGGCCGCTCAAGCACTCGTTCCTCGAGAAGTTCGCCCGGCGGACAGTCACAACAGTCGCCTTTGCCCGCAGGCAGTCCTTTGTCCCCCTCGTCGCCGATAATGTCCTCCCCTGCTGCCGTCCCTGATAAGGAGACGTTGAAGCTCCTCCTCCCGCTCCGATATGACGGGAAGTCAGTGGTCGAATGCAACCGCTTCATCTCGCAGTTGCTCATCTACTGGACGATCAACACGGCCCTCTCTTCCCTCGAGCTGAAGATCCAGGTTGCCCTCAGTCTCCTCGACGGTGATACGCGAGCTTGGGCCACCCCCATCTTCTCCCAGCTCGCCTCTGTCCAAATCGGGATCCAGGGAGCGACAACCCCCTTCGCCGACGAAAAAGCCTTCCTTAAGGCATTTAAGGCCCGTTTTGGCAACCTCGATGATGCTGCCGCGGCACAGGTAGAGCTCTCCAAGCTCTGTGCCGACAAAACCATGCGCGAAAAGCGCACCGCCGCAGAGTTTTCTGCGCTGTTCAAGGGTCCGGCGGACCGTTCTGGGTATGGGAACCTGGAACTACGCGACAAGTACCTGAGCAGCATCCCTTCCCATGTCTATCGCAAACTCGAGCTCGAAACCTTTGCCACGTGGCAAGACGCTGACAAGCGTGCCACTGAGGTCGAGCAAATCCTTGACGTCAGCCGGGCTCGTCGGCCTAAGCTGAACAGCTTCTTCTCGGCTCGAGGTCGAGGACGCGGAGGGGCCCGTGGTGGTGCGCCCCAATCCCACGCAGCTTTGGCCAGCATCAATGCGGCCGTTGGAAAAGGAAACTTCCCCGGCAGTTGTTACGGCTGTGGGAAGCAAGGGTACCGACGCTTCGAGTGCCCCAATTGTAAGGACAAACCTTACACAAAATGCGCCGACGCGCGGGCTATGGTTGCCTCGGGCTCCACCCAGGCGACGACAAGCGCCCCCGTCGCTTCATCCTCGGCGAGTATAAGCACCGCTTCAGCGAAATCCAAGCAATCGGAGCTGGCAGACTTAATGGCACAGGTGAAGTCGATGCGCGAGGAGCTCGAGCACTATCGGGCGATGAAGGAGGAGGGTTTTTGATCTGGTCCGCGCTTCGTGCCGCACGCGTTGGGCCGCATATATCCTGTAATAAGTATGATGTATTGTCGACTACAATGGTGTATGAGTTGGACCAGGGGTCCCAGCACTTTCACATCCCAGTTCGACTCCAAGGGAAAAGACGGCACAAGGACATAATCGCTATGGTGGACAGCGGAGCCACCACGAAGTTTATCAACAAACGATTCATTGAAGAGAATAGGGTGCAAACATGGAAGTTAAAGGAACCAATTCCGCTGTACAATATCGATGGCACCCTCAATAAAGATGGAAGCATCTCGGAAGTAGCTGTACTACAGATGCAGATAGGAGAACACGTCGAAAAGGCGGTGTTTACGGTCACGGACATTGGTCCAGAGGATGTGATCGTTGGGTTGGATTGGCTACGCGAGCACAACCCCGAGATCGACTGGGAGTCGGGCTCCCTAAAGCTATCGCGATGCCCTGCAACGTGCAGTGCCAGGAGGACTGGCCGGGTGGAGCAAGCAACAACTGCGCGTGATACGGGGGTCAGGCCCACGGCGCGCAGGCGTTCGCCGAAGTCCAAACGGTCGGTCATAGGTGCCTGCCGGAGTAAGATACTCCCAGACTTCGAACCTGAAGAAGATCTGGTGGAGGTAGAGTGGGATGAGGCCGATTTGATCGAAGCCTGGGAGCAAGGTATCACGCTTCCTGGTGCCCCTCAGCTGTTCGTCGCAGCAGGGCATACGTACTCCCAGCTGTTCGCTGAGGAGGAGATCAAAAAGAAGGTTGTTAAGACCGCTGAGGAGTCGGTACCTAAACAGTACCACGAGTTCCTGAATGTCTTCTCCAAGGAAGCATCAGAACAGCTACCCGAAAGAAAGCCGTACGATCATGCGATCAAACTCATGCCCGGTTACTCAACATTCCATTCGAAGGTGTACCCATTGTCGAACAACGAGCAGGAGGAACTCGATAAATTCCTAAAGGAGCAACTAGCGAAGGGTTACATACGGGAATCGAAGTCGCCTATCTCGTCCCCCTTCTTCTTCATCAAACAGAAGGAAGGGACACTTCGACCCGTACAGGACTACCGCTGGTTAAACGCGATCATGGTCAAGAATCGTTATCCCTTACCGTTGATCGCCGAGATGGTGGATAAACTCCGCGGCGCTACGCTCTTCACGAAGTTCGATGTCCGATGGGGATACAACAATGTCCGGATCAAAGCCGGTGACGAATGGAAGGCGGCGTTTGTGACTAACCGAGGGTTGTACGAACCCCTGGTGATGTTCTTCGGCCTCACCAACTCCCCCGCCACTTTCCAGGCAATGATGAACGAGATCTTCCATGATCTCATCGTCGGTGGCAAGATCCTCGTGTACCTGGATGACATCCTCATCTTCTCCACCAACAAGGAGGAACATGTAAAGGTCACACATGAGGTGCTGCGCCGCCTTCAGGACAACGATCTGTTCCTGAAGCCTGAGAAGTGCGAGTGGGATGTTTCCAAGGTCGACTACATCGGCTATGTGTTCGGTGGCGATGAGGTAGCGATGGATCCCACGAAGCTAAAAGGAATTAATGAGTGGCCGGTACCCCGGAACAAAAAGGACATTCAGAAGTTCCGGGGGTTCTCCAATTTCTACCGCCGCTTTATTAAAGACTTTGCCAAGATCTCGCGACCACTCGACCGGCTCACCGGGAATGACCCATGGCATTGGGGCGAAGAAGAGCAGCATGCCTTCGATGAGCTCAAGCGGCTCTTCGTGACGACTCCAGTCCTAGCGCTATACGATCCTAATTGAGAAACGCACATTGAGGTTGATGCCTCGGGCTATGCCACTGGCGGTGTGTTGATGCAGAAACAGGACAACGGCAAATGGCACCCCATCGCCTACCGATCTCACGCTATGGACCCTGCCCAACGTAACTACGAGATCTACGATAAGGAGATGCTTGCGATCATTGAGGCACTAGACGATTGGCGTCACTATCTCGAGGGGTTACCTAATCAGTTCGAGATCGTAACCGATCATAAAAACCTCGAATATTGGCGCACGTCCCAGCACCTCACGCGTCGCCAAGCGCAATGGTCGCTGTTCCTGGCTCGCTTCGACTTCCGCATTACGCACAAGGCCGGGACGTCCAATGGAAAGACTGATGCCCTATCACGCCGATCAGACCACCAGATAGGCGACAAGGACGATAACATCGATCAGGTGGTTCTCAAGCCGGAACGCTTCCGCATCGCCTCCACCCGGCGCAGTCATGCCTTGGTGACAGCCGACCAGTCGCTTCTGAAGCACATCAGGGAATGTTTGGAGAAGGATCGGGAGGTGGCCGAGGCACTCGAAAAGGTGCAGGACCTCGGACCGCCCCGGCTACAAAGGGGTTTTGAGGAGTGGAATGCCGAACAAGGGCTTCTGCTGTTCCGCGGATGCGT